ACGCAAAACGACCCTGATTATGGACCTCAGCGTGTCTGTCACTCTCATCTCTCGCCTAATGCTCAACCTGCACGGATGTGTTGACACTGGCATTTTTGCTACCCTTGCTGAGACCAGCCTCCATGTCCTTACCACCGAGGTCGACGTAGAGTTCGCGGATTCCTCCCGCGATCCGTAGGCTGGTATTCAATTAATTCTAATTATGGATTCAAAGTGGCATTGGAAGTTAAAAACTATTCTTTGTCCTTTTTTTTAATGCAGCGTTGTATGCGTACCAGCTGTGCTCGATAAATGTATACTTGAAACATCTCGTTTATTGTTATCTTTGCCCTAGGATTGTATATATAGATAGACCATACGTACATGATGAATTGTTGGCTAATTGAATCCTCCATAAGTGTTCGTCCGTGCGGTGGTGTGCCGGGCGCTAAGTTTCGCGGCTGTTTGCAATTGGTAAAATCTTAACCACCATGATAGTAATATGCCAGGTCCAACATAGCCTCCTTGGTAGGAGGAGTCTGGGATTAGTTGCAATGCAGGCTTCCATGACGTCAGGCTGACAAGACAGGAGTCAACGGAATTTGAAGCTGACTCCGAACGCGCCTTCAAGTTAATAAATTTCAAGCACGCTGTATTGTTCCGTATGAGCTCGCGGCGCGATCCAATACATTGCAAATAATATTACAGATACTCGAGCGATAGTAATGGATGTCACCAACTAGTAGTACTTACTGGTACATCGATCTGTAGAACTTTACTGACATAACGCCTACCCACCACTGCGGTTCTCTGCCCATGAACCTAGTCAGTTTATCGACCTGTTTCTGAGTAGGGCGGTAATTATAACTCTCTGGCTGGTCGTTGAAGATGTACAACACGCGAACAGCACCGTCATCCATGCATTCCGCTGGAATGATCTGCCCGGGAGGTGGAATTGCATAAGTCGTTGATAGCGAACGGATGTGGAAGGTTTTTCTGAAGCTATGGGTGGGGTCTGCTCTGGCGTTGCTACGGGCCTTGCTTTCGGAAAAATCGGGGTGTACTTTAGCGAGGAAGGAACAAGCCGTCTGATAAAGCCACTCCTCAGATACGTAGTAACCGTACATCTGACCATTATGTTGCGGAGGTGGAAGGATTATATTGATACGGCGTCGGGACTCTTTGTTACGTCCAGAATCATGTTGTTGGTCTTGCTTAGGTTCACCAAGCTGGGCAAGAGTAATTAAGGGGGATGTCAACGAATAACACTTGGACACACCTGCATGCCGGACATCGCTTCATCGAGGCTTTGGAGTTGTTGTTGAGACATGTCCTTATGATTCAGGTTTCGAGCAAGACGACAACAAATTATAAAGCAATAGTAGCAGAGTAATAGTGCAGGTTAGGGGTGCGTGGCGGCGCAGTGGATGTTTTATTTGTTCAGGGTGACAGCCATTTGCATATGCAATCATGGTAGTAGTTGGTTGGCAGAGGAACGACGAGGTTGTGAATCAGCGTAAGCATGAACTCATGGTCGTGTTTCCGAGTCGTAGTTTTGCAGGATGAAAATGGGAGAAAAGAAAGCCACGAGCTTGGGCCAGATTTTGCTCTACGCGCCTTGGTGAGCTTGCGCTTCCCAGTCTTGTAGGAGAAGGACGCAGACTCTGCGGGAACGGTTTCACGAGAATGAAGTTGTGGGCACTCTTCGAGCAGTTTGTCCATGTCCATTGGTCGAATCCCTACATCAAACTAACAAATAATGCACTTCTTTCCTCCTTCCTCAGTTTTCACCAACCTCGCCTCTAGTCGTGCTCGTAAACTGCCATCAGGCGTGATATGCGGAGATGTGCTATGAATGGACGTTAGCATCTATTATTTCAATTTCCTGATTCGTCGTTGCATATCGGGAGGGTATGTGGAAAAACTCACTCAAACATCAATCCGGCTCCATCTTGTTCTCCAAGTGGCACTACGATCGCAGAGACATACCATGTACCATGTTCGGACCAGGTATCAGGTTTGGTGGTAGCGTGAGGTATAGTGTATGAATCTGCTGGAGACTGGTCAGGACTCAGATTGTTCTATATATGATGAATAGACAGCCAAAATCCATGAAGATTAAACAAGCTTTCCACTTCACGACTGAAACAGTGGAAAGAACCTCACCTCCATTCCTCGTACGACAAGCAAGCATAGACTCTCCTGCACTAAAATGGAGCACCACCGGAGCACGCCCACTGGATCCCAACGAGGCATGCTTCAGCTTCGCGAGCTGCTTCTCAGCTGTGAGAGCTGCGGCCTTACTTGTATCCAATACAGATGCTAATGTGTACGAGGAACGCGACGAGGACAATTTTTTGAGCAAGCGAGGTGGTGGCATCTGTTTCTGTGTATGTGCACCTGAGAACGATGCAGGACGAGAAGAGCCAGGAGGGCTGAGCGAAGGTAAGTGCGCTTGTCCATCATAGTTGAAGTCCGTTTCACAACCCCCAGATCCCACTTCATTCTCAAAGCCATACACCGTCTCTCTGCCTGAGAAACTGGCGCTGTGGATGTGCTCTCTTGGCGAATAGGAATTTCTTGGTGAACGTGGACAAGGCCCTAGAGAAGGAAAAGGAGGTTCATCGATGACTACTGTTGCATCCACGTAGGTCGGTAGGCTGTGATCAAGGAGGGAGAGTGAGACGTGCAAGGGCCCTACCACTATTTTGGTTCCGGTGGACTTAGAGTGGGGTCGAGGACGATCGGTAGTAAAGAAGGTCAGTGCAAATATACGACCTGAAATGCAAGAAACTTTAACCGGTTCTTCTCATTTGTGAAAGAATTGAGGAAGAATGAAAGTAGGAATGAGTGTGAGAGAAGGAGCGCAGGATACTCACCAGAGACAATAAATTCCACGCTCACGCTCCCAACTGCACGCATACGTCTCTGCCACATCGCAATATCCAGTGTTGCAGCAAAAGCACCATCAGGGCCCTCTTCAACACGCACGTCATCTGGTGGGCGCTGACCAAGAAGTAGTCCATCGGTAGCTGGCAATAAAACATCAGCCCCAATCTAACTTCTCAACTCAGACTTACCACTCCGTAGCCCACTTGCGCACAACCCGACACTAAGTCTGAGGTTTTGAAATAAGGGCTGATTACTCGCCACCAAACATGCCTTCCTCATTTCACTGAGTGTCACAGGGGTCAAGGGGGAGGCATATTTGAGCAGAGCATCGAGGAGGGAGGAGCGATAGTTGACGATAGCCCAATAGATGGCAGTGTGACCTGCTATATCCGGCTCTTGAAGAAGCGTAGACAGCGACAGGTTCTTCGCAGAGCATGTTTGGGCGTAGGAAGCCAGCATTTCATGCGGATCTGCTAGGGCTAATTGCGGGGATTTGGGACTCGAGTTACCGGAGTTGGTTGGCGGAGGAACGACGAGGTCGTGAATAAGCGTAAGCATGAACTCATGGTCGTGTTTCGTAGTTTTGGAGGATGAAAATGGGAGGAAAGAAAGCCATGAGCTTGGGCCAGATTTTGCTCTACGCGCCTTGGTGAGCTTGCGCTTCCCAGTCTGGTAGGAGAAGGATGCAGACTCTGCGGGAACGGTTTCACGAGAATAAAGCTGTGGGCGCTCTTCGAGCGGTTTGTCCACGTCAACTGTTGCATTGTTTGGAAGTTGTGTAACTGGTGTGATAAAGTCAATGTTGCTCCTGCTCCTAGGCAACGTGTTTGCCCGCAGCCGACTCCGAGAAGGAGGCTCGAATTCATGCACGTCAGTTACAACAGTACTAGTAATGGGAGCTGCCTTATCATTGTGCGTGAGAGCAGTAACGATGGCGGGTATCGATGGAACGTCCCCCCCACGGGTTGACAATGCCACGGTGTCATAAGCAGGAGGTAGATGATCAATCTCAGGCTCTGCCTCTGCAGAAAGCTTGTCTGCCAGGATCAGAGTCATTATCAACAGTGCATCGACTGGCGGTAAGGGAAGCACGGATACGTATACAAAAAAACCACCGTCATTTGGATTTACAAAGCATGCTAATTAAATCATGGGGTTAACGTTACTTGGTCATGCACCATTGTTCGGTTGTGTAACGGGTTCAACGCTCAAGCGCTCGACCCTGCAGTCAGCTTTAAATAGCTCACATGGACTCGAGACACTGCCATCACTACCTGTGGAACCTACTCACAGAAAGTATCGCCAAGGTCAACGTCCCAGCTGATCAATGATACTCACTTGATAAACAAGTTCGCAAGACAAATCGTTACATGCAGGATACTCATTTTGTTAGACATCCGAAAATGCATGTGATATTGCACCAAACTCCAGAAGTGGTCCACCGTGACATGATCGCGTGCACAACGAACAAACGACAGTGCCCCTGTCGTGAAAGTGGCAAGTCAATTATTGCACACACCAGCACTGCCTAGCTCCTCTCCTCCCACCGTTCATAGTCATTCGTAGCAAGACTTGCGTGATATTTGTGTTCGACAGTCTCACATACGGCATCAAGATTCGTCAGTGCTTCAAGGAGCGCATTCAACGACGAAAGCCCATCTGAAAAAAAAAAGTCGGATCAGGCACCCCAGGGGGAAATGGCCAATAACCGAATTTTGCATACCATACATCTGTATTCGCAGTTGAATGAGGTTTTCGGAAGGATGGGGCACGCTGTAAGCGTCAACGGATCAGCAATCGAAACACATTGTCATACATATAGCAAGTGATGCCATGCTACCGCATCTGTGTCTCTTCGCGATGACCAGATACGGAGGCCATTGACCAGTGGAGCAAGCAACACCCGGAAAATGAAACAAAATCGCAGATCGCAGACAACAACCCGACACCATTTACTCACCTGTATCCACAGAACTCCACCTTCGGGCTTCCAACACCATCATCAACTCAACGTTCATCCAACAAAAAACACAACGTACTTTTTCATGATCATCCACCGCAGAGCATTTCCAATCGTATGCGACTCGTCGAAAATTTGAAATGTAGCCGCAGATAGGTCTGGCGCGGCACCCGCCATCTGGGAGAGTTTCAGGGTTATCGTGGGAGGCCTCGAGTTATAGCTCGTGCACGCACAATCTTGATTTTTGGGCTCGTCTCTGCCATGGTTGGTGAAGAATGATGGTGTTGATGAAGACAATATTGATTGAATATGAAGTCTCAGATCTCAGGCCTCATGGGTATTTTTAGGGATTGACGGTCCACTTTCTTCGTTGCCCGCTTAGCTCAGTGGTAGAGCGCGTCACTCGTAATGATGAGGTCGGTTGTTCAATCCAGCCAGCGGGCACGAAGTATGTTTTTTTGTCTCCACACCGATTTAGCTAAACAGACGTAGTGGTCGTCATCATCGTAGAAGAAACCAAGGAGATATGGTATAGTTGTACAGAATGCAAAATACAAGAGTTGAAAGCATGCTAATGCTGAACACAATTCCACTTTTAAATTAACCTACGGTTCTTCGAACACGTACAACCCATCCAGCTCGCCACCATTCACTAGGCCTGTTCGCAGACAGCTAAAATCCCCATCCCCAGCGTCGACAAAGCCCTTCCTGCTATACCCATCTGCACGATCCACCTCAGGAGGTGAGACGCTGAGTGCGCGAGGCGCTGAGTGGGAACCCGGCGAGGACTCTTCAACGCGCAGTCGCTTTTGTAGGGAATCACCCCGGGACAGAGAGTCGTTGCCAACATCCAGCTCTTCTGAGGAGCGCTTTCGTTGGCGAGGTGTAGGGATTGGCGCCACAGACTCTCCGCGCCGCGCTCGGTCGTCAACAGGGCGATCTGAGTCTCTCCGAGGACGCTTCGGCGGCGTCGAGGTACGAGGGACCTCGATGGGATCACCAGCAGCAGCGTTCTCTGCCTCGAGGTCCCCAGAAGAGCGTTTCCGGGGTGTGATGGTATGTGTCTCGGAACATGGGTTCGCGAGTTCATACTGCTCCTCTTCACTCTCTTCTTCCTCGTCCTCATACAGCTCTTCCTCTTCTAGCTCCTCTTCCTCTTCCTCCTTCACCAACTTGCTTCTGGGAACACGTACCTCTTCTAGAACTATTTCACTTAGATTCTCATATTCTGGCGGTGGCTGTGGTTGAGGCTGTGGTACTCGGGTTTGGGATTCATTTTGGGGCGCAGACCGCACCTGAGGAGTGACAGGGTTACCAGCGGCAACATTTGCCTTGATCATAGCACGTTCGCAGACGGAACATCGGCAGTGATACAGTGGTGCACATGCTTCGCGCCATACCTAATGTAGTTGGTTTGGATGCGGTAGCATCGTGTCACAGAATGGAACTCACCTGTTTGAATGCTTCGAGACTGTACTGCGCCATATGGGCCAGCGTAACCGGTACATAAGGGATAGGATGTAAAAGCTTGGGTGAGTCTAACACCGGTGACACAGGAATGGGGATGATGACTTGTGGCGGTTTCGGCCGCGCTGTTGCCATTGCCGTTGTAGGCTCATGCTCCTTCTCCTCAGGATGTGATGGTGGAGGCGATGGCGTGGTATGTAGCGTTGTCGTAGAAAGAACAGGGCTCGTCGTGTGTGATCCATCGCTTCTCGTCGATGCACTGGTGCTACTCAAGGAATCGTCCTCGCGCTTACCGCCGATGTCCAAGCCGCCAGCCGCCCAATCAACGCCATCAAACCATACTCCGGGCGTGCGCAGCTCAGCAAGCACATCTTCAAGGTTCATCTTCGATGCGCGCACAGCAGGGTCTACCCAAGCACCTCCTATCCCATTCGCAGACTCAATGACGAGCCGCCGAACAATATTGTTCATCCCAGGCAAGAGGATCTGGCGCAACTGTTTTGAAAAGGCACGGAAAGCCTGCTCACAAAGTCCGAACGACGGTGGTGCCTGAGAACGAACGGTCGAAAGACGTGGATGCGAGTCGTCCGTGGGTGAGGGAAGAGATGACGGGGACGATGGCCTCGACAGTGTCCATGGACAAGGATGTGTAGCGGGAACTCTGATGCGGCGGCGAGACTGTCCATTCTCAAGAGGTTCATCGTCGTCAGTTTCCGACTCGTAGTCAGGTTCCTCGCCAGGATCTCTGACACCTCCGCCAATTGGTCGAGCGTAACCATACCACTGGTCGGCAGGACTACACCAGTGTCCATCAAGAATTCGTGTCCGTGCCCAGTCAGCAATAGCCAGATCGCGCACACCACCAGCATCTTCAGTCATGGAAAGCAAATCAGGATCATCTTCATCCTCCGAGCCCTCATAGTCTGAGGAGTACGCTGACCGCGGAGACGGCGAGCGCGAACGACGGGAAGGAGATAAACTGTTGACGGGGCTGTACGAGTCCCCTCCTTCTGTAGTACGTGTATGTTCTTGCCGTGGCGCCGCCACACTCTCTGGTTCACGATGATGGTAAGAATTTTGCGAAAAGTCAGTCCCCATGCCTTCGCTGGCCCAGCGGGTAGCAGCGACAGCTTGCTCCATCAACTCTGGCATTTTCGTGTATGACCTCAGCCACAGCTTCTCGCGGGCAACGTTCAGGACCTCTGTGATTGAGCCTTCGCCCAGTTCGATGAAAGCATCGACTGTTTGACGCGTCTCCCAATCTGCCGATGCATACTTCCAGGGTGGAACACGTGCTAATGCGAGTTGTCGCGGGCTTGCGGGTGAAGAGCGTGATGAAGACGAGGATTGAACGAAACGTGGACCACCAATCGCCTCGCGGTCGCGAGCACTCGATTTGATACGGTTCCAGAGCCCTTCTAAACGACATGACCGACACGTTGCATCAACGCCAGGCCAGGTTTCATCATCTTCGTTTTCAGAACATAATACCATCAAGGCAGGATTGAGGGTGGTTGCATACGGGTTATAGCCGCCCAAGGCCAGATTAAAATTTCCATGGCTGTACAGTTGACTATAACCGCTGAGACGCATGTTGCTCTGGACATCAAACTGGGGATCACACTCGGCAGCGGGAGCCTCACGGAGGCATACACCGCAAAATGCGGTTTTGCGATGCTCGCGACACACGGATATCACGCCCAACCTTGGGATAACATGTGTTCGTTTTGCGGCTCCGAGGCCAACGGACGAACAAGGTGAATTGATGCGACAGATGATGCAGGAATGGTAGGTCATAGTGCGAAAATGGGTGTGAGGAGGTAAACGGTAAGGCTGTGGCGCGATAGTTGCAGCACCTGCAGCCCCATCTGCGGGGGCCTGAGGGCGTACGATTGCATATTGGTGGAGTATGTCGTGAGGATCCAGGAGTGCGCATGCATGATTCCAAAATAGATGGGATTTGACTAGCACAATGAATTAGCGCGTTACGATGATAAGATAAAGTAGGTAACACACGAGCAGTACACCAAGAAGGGGTGACATTCATCAACTTCTCGAGTTCTATAGCTTGACATAAAGCCGCGTAGACCATTCTGGAGGGCCAAACCTCTCTAACTTCCCAAGTGACTGGACAGTACAAGTGTGTAGCGACATCCTTGAGGTACAAAGATGCAATATGTCTGTCATGCAAGCGTGTCTAATTAGAAATAGCTGAAAATGCCATGCAGTGGCGCAGAAGTACCTGATGAGCTCTGGGGGGAGCTGTTGCCATGATCTGTTTGTATGTTTACCCTTGTAGATATGATCACCGGTTGAGTAGCTCGCAGTCGTAGCAGGCGAGGTTGATAAGGCCATTGTGGATGTTGTGGATGACGTTGAAAGGGGTACCTCCGCCGTTGACGGTGAGGGTGCCATTATCTGGATATCCTGTGCGAAGTGGGACCTAGGCCTTGATTAGCGTATGGTAGACAGCCGGACTACAGATTCGATTTCGGGTCACCGTCACTCACTCTCATGCTGAAAAGTCACACACTTCCTTTGGTTGGCACATTTCCCACGCACAGACCACCGCGTCGTACGTTTGTTACATTCAGATCTAGATATCGATACACTAAATATTGACATGCCGACATGTGGAATCCTATACAAAGAGTTTGCGTAATTCTAAACTGGCGGCGTTAAGTCTGTCCAATTTCTTCTGCAGCTCCGTACGCTTCGAGGCGACACTGCTATGCTCCTGGACCATTAACTGACATCGCACGTACGCATCGGGACCCGTCAAGCTCAACCCATCAAGAAGAGCCTGCTCCATGCCCTTATGCAGACCGCGGACTATCTCATAGTCAATGGCCAACGGGACCATATCAGCAAAGCGCTTGTACGCAACTACAAAGGGCTCCTTCAGTTTTAAATCCACATCTCCGTGCAAACACATACCCTGGAAGTACGCCCTTACTCCCGCCATAATCAGAAGGGCAGGCTCCATGGGATCCACGGGCAGAAGCTTTGGAAGATCACCAACCTGCACGGAAAGACCAATTTCTGTTAGTCCAGTGAGAGCCTTTTGGATGCCTTGGTGGAACGCTTGTCCATGGTTTGGACTCGTGTGCATTGTGGTCGGCGCACGGTAATTCTGCAGCTTTGTGGTCAACTCTTCGCGATCTCTGCAACCCTTGTAATATCCGAGGAATTTGATCTTGTAGTTAGAGTAATAGTGCACGTTCAAAGTTGTCGGTGCCTTCTCGAGTTCCAAGAGCCAATTTATCTTTTCCCTGGCCTGCTTTGCGGCTTTGTCAAGGTGTTCGTTCACTATCATCCTGCGGGAACAAGGGTGTCAGCATAGAGGTATCGAATAGTGCAGGATGCACATACAGCACGCTGTGAAGTGTGCCGCCCCTTCCCATTTTCTCGAAATGTTCATGAACTAGATCGCTCAGGTCGTTCTTCAGGATGTCGTATACTTCGTCGAAAAGTATTCGCGATGGTGTCTCCCATTTTTCAGTAAACTCCTTGATGTACGTCTCCTGTACAATGAAGGGATAATTATCGGGAAGTTCGCGAGTACGAGCCCTGGGATTTAGTCAGTTTTGGTTATGGCACAAGAATGAATCTCAAGAACCTCTGGGCGTGATCAAGAACATCCTCAATATAAATTCCCGACTGTGGCGTGGACGACCTCGGAGTGAGCATAGGAGGGACTCCTTCTCGGGACTTCTGTGGTTCATCCTCCTCGTTTGCTAGGAAATCGATTGCCGGCAGTTCGCGGATTTCGCCTTTTGCCCATGGAATAAACCGGGGAGCCGTTCCTCGTACAGCACGCTTGAATTCTTCCTGGTGTGGTCGAATGGTCTGCAATATACCGTCTTGATCAGGCGTCCCCTCGAGTCGTTGAAACAGCTGCTTCGAAAATTGACCGACTATACTCCAAACCTCACCCACGGGATCGGTAGACGGCGCTTTCGGAAGCTTTCTCATCTCATCTCGAGTCTTGCGCAGAATATTATATAATTCCTTGTGGATATCAGGAAGCCTATTACATGCATATTAGCATCACAAGGCGCCAAGATAAGAATTCCGACCTTTTCGCGATCAGTTCGGACAGAATCGTGCTCAACCGCTCCGTCAGGTTGCTTGTTCTCAGGAACTTCTGGTACTGTGACTCCATGCTCGACCAGGGCTGTGTCAAAGCAAAGAAGTTGTTTTCTTCCTTCCTTGCTTCGGCCCAGGAGATCCCGTCTTTGAGCATCTGAGACCCAGGTTGCTTGACGCAGTACCAGTGGTTCACGAGCGGCTCCTGCTCGTTACGAATGAACTTCAGCCACATGCTCTCCTCACCAGCAGGAATGCGATCCGGCTTCGTGAGCACGCCTGCGACACAGAAGTTAATCATCGCTTCCAAAGACTTCATGAATGCACAAACGCACCAACAGTGCGCTTGCCTTCAGGATCGTGTTTTTTCGTCAAGTGATGCGCTCCTTGATTCTCAAAGTCGGCTGGGAAAATACGAGATGTAAGAAAAAGTGACTGAAACGCGAAATCCACTTACTTTCACAAGTAACCGTCAGAAGGATGACACAACTAGGCCTCTCAATGTAAGACGTCACCAAACCCTTGACGAGATCAATATCCCCGGTCTTTCCTGCACTCCCGACGCTCGCGATGAGTCCAGGAAGGTCCACGAATGAGAGATCCGCCACATCCTTCCCACTTATCTCGAGAGAAACGCAATTTTTGGAGAAAGATAACTCAGCTTGCTCAGCGGTTTGATCTTCTAGCTCATAAAGAAACTTCTGTGGCTCAGTGCTTGGGTTTAGAATTGCCCTTTGAGCACGCCTGATTCGATCTTCTACATCGGCCTTATCGGTGATGGGTGATCCAAAAGGAATGGTGAGCACATCACAGGGTTGGCCCGACGGGCCGGTAGTAATGTGAAGTTTGACGAGACATTTCCAGGAGTCTTCGGAGCGTGAAAGTTTACATTCAGTTGGGCACCTTCAATAGGGTTAGATGTGGCGTTTCTAAAAACAAAACGGGCACGCGCTGACCTTGTACACGTTCCAGCTGAGCGAGGGAGAGTGATCCCAGAAATGGATTCAATAAGAGAGGATTTCCCCGCACTCTGCGAGCCAATGACTGCGATCATGGGCAGGTCCATGTCCGTCTGCACACTAGATATTGATTCGATGAGCCCAAGAACATGACGAAGAGGAAAAAAAACTAGCCCTGTGGTGTGGAGACGGTTGATGAGGTCAAGCATCTTTCGACGGTGCTGTGACAAAGTGGAGTCGGAGAGCCCAACACCATTGTCTTCAGACGGGGTAAGGTCAGCGCCAGGAGTTGAGGGCAACATAATGTTTCAAAAAGCACGATGATCACGTTTAAAAATTCGAGTCCGCGTAGGAGGGTGTTATGTGTCAGGTACACACTAACAACGATGGGCCTTTTATACAAATTTTCGGCGTCAGCAATGCAGGAAACTTCTGACGATAAGAAAGAGCAGCACTGGCTTGAATCGGAAAATTGCCGTATAGATGTCATGGGGTTAGAAACGAGGACAAGGGATTGCATAAAGGATCATGATTACAACACTTGAACTGAATGGACAATGAATGATGTCCTTTGTAACGAGGGTGAACTTATCGACAGCCTATCGACAATTACCGCTTACCCTTTACAATAAGCACTTGAATCAGGATCACGATATTCTAAAAGCACTCGCCTGCACAGCTCAACAACGTACCTCACACAGGCTTACGGTCAAAGAATATTGATGATGAGAGAAAGAGCACACAAAGCACAGTCTTAGTCCCACGCTTACTACTTACCCCGAGTTTTTGTCCTCGGTAAGTTCATCATGATACTTCGACCAGTAGTCCTAGTCAACGGCAAACGAGCTCTGTCCAAGCCGCTGAGGTAGGCCGTATCATTGGTGCCCTCAGCAGCTGAAGTCAACCGTCTCCTTTTAGCATTCTGAAATTTGCTAGGCCTGCGGCGGTCTAAACACCGCTGGGAAGACGAACATCTTATCGACCTTTCCAATACTGTTTAGGACTCAGCCTATTATATCTACAGGGAAGGCAATGGCCTGTGTCCCATCTGATCAGCTCATGCCAACTCTAGATCACGGTGGCCTTCCGATGGGGTAGTTTATGAGAACGTTACCCCAGAGCCAGTGGCAGTGTAACATGATGCTGGTTCTTGCGTTCGCTTCAAGCACATAGCGGTGCTGTGGCATACAGCACAATTCTGTCAGATGGTTATAATTGGTTGATAAGACAGTGTGTTCAATTTCGTACTTCATACTAAGGTTACTGATAGCATCTTCTAGATTGTGCTCTTTCAAATTGATCTTGTTAACTGCAAAACGATACCAGCATGCTATATTTGCGCGAGGTCCTGATGAACGTTCTTGGGTATGCAACTTAACAATCAGCGGTGCATCTACCATCCCTGCCGTCAACATGATCGTATCATCTGTTATTCACGCACGATATTCTCTGCTTCCGACCACCTGGAAGTCTTATAGAGTTTTTAAGATGCGGTGCGAGATCCGTGTCAACGCGTCGGTTGACCGGTCGACCTCTCGGCAGCTGGTTCATATCGATACGGGAAGTGCCGAACCCTGGTGGGGTCTCCCCCCGAATCTTAGAAGGAGGGGGTCGGAGTTACTAGTTCTGTTAGACAGGAGTCTGACCAGACTGAGAACTGCACAGCTCCGAACGCGTCATCATTGATCCATTATTCTGAATATACTCAATATTTTCAAAGCTTCAATTGTAAAGCGATGTCTAGCTACATGCAGAGTTCAGTTGCTGTTTGCGTATGCTACAGCCGTTTCGACTCGGAATCATCATCGTGTGTACACTAATTCAAGTGACCTGGATGTACGAGCACGAGATCGCGATTCCACACAATCAAGATTGACTTCGTTCTTACAACGCATGAACGTTATGGTACGCTAGCACTGTCCAACATCAAGCCGTTGTATCAATTACCTTGATACTCTCGCGGTGTAGTCATCCTGTTTTCGCATTTACCTCTCTCTCACGTTGTTCCCTACTTTAGTGACGATCATTTCAAGTATTCGAATCACAATCGAAATCCTGTAGCATCGTATGATGGGTGACTCGGACTGTCAGTACTTCGACCGGTACTTTTCACCAAGTCATCGAATCCTCAATTAGTCAGCATCCATAAAGTTAGTCCAACCTCAAGATAGAAGACCCGCCTGCGCAGGGAGGCTCACCCATCAAAGTCTGCACTTTCATCAATGCCTTGAGTGCATCTGTCAGTGCTTGCATTTGCTCGATGACAAATGTAACTTGCACAGACGGCTGCAGGGTGCTATATTTCATATGTGTGTCATCGACCCGGGTCGGAAGGTATATTCTACGGTTCGTGCCGCATTCGCATCATTGCTCTTTGGGGATTACAAATAGGAATTTCCGCAAGACAAGAGTACATCGTGTGACCTAGAAGAAACAATAACTGTGTTATGGACGATCGGTCACAACCTTTTTTTGTCACAACGTGTGGCCCCACACGCAACGTGAACGTGCACCTCTTGCTGCGGATCTGGCGCCACGATTGATGCTGAAAGTATTTAAGGCAGGCCCATTTCTAACGAGCTACGTATCTAACCCTTCCATCATGGCGCCTAAGCTTCCTATCGAGATTATCTTGACCATCTGCAAAGACGCAGCCCAGCCGACGTTTTCTCAAAGGGAAAAATATGACATAAAAAATCCTTACTCAACCGCCCTCTCCTTATGTCTCGTCTCTCGACTTGTCAGACGCATCATCCTCCCCGATTTCCTGCACACGATCTTGCTCCGCCGACGTCACAGCTTAAAGAAGTTCGCAAATGCTTTGCTTATGCAGAAAGCGTACGCTGAGAAAAAGAGCGATCTTTTCTTTGACTATACCTCCGCTGTACAGAGGATGTGGATTAGTGACGCATTTGACTATTTCGTCTATGCAGAGGCCCGGTCGGAGTACGAAGAGGCCCGGTCGGAGGACGAAGAGGCCCAATCGGAGGACGAAGAGGCCCAATCGGAGGACGAAGAGGCCCGGTCGGAGGACGAGGACCCTCACTTACGTTGGGGCATCAGAAATTTTTTGTCAAAAAACGATGAGCGAGCGCGCAACATAAGCGTGTCGCTTCCGGTGATCCTTGCTGCGCCGGAACTTGCGGTTGACTATGGCCATTTAAAGCACATCATTTGGCGCGTGCAAGATGCATGGTCTTCTCGCACAGATCTCAATGTCGGCGGACACTCTTCTTTTCCTGGGAAAACCAAAAATCTAACAATAATACGTCAAGGCCACCACGAGCATTTCTTGCACAACACTGTTGAAACATTTGTTTTCCTTGCATCAATCCCACATCTCACTCACCTAATCGATTTGGCTGAGCACTCACTCATGTTTCGCGGCATCAGCTGTGGTACAGAATCGCCAAAATTCCCGGTGTATCTTTGGATGAGGGACCATACGTGGAATTCTATGGAGAGCCTTGAAACCTTTTCAGTGGTCTACCCGCATCTGCCTCCCATCCACGATTTCAAGTCAATTACATATGCCGCATATGCGACAAGGGGAATAGACTTGCATGTGGAGCGATTCACGGTGTCTGCTGCCCTTTACAAGCAGGATCCTGAAGTCCTTCCCGTGGGGGCCACTGTGGTTTCCTGTGATGAATCCTGGAAATAAGAGGATACATTCGGATGGTGTTTCCTTCGAGGTTACGCCTGATAAGACCTACTTTTCACAGTATTTTTGGTCTTGGGATAAAGCTTGGGCCTGTGGGTTAACCGACGGATGAGGGGTAATACTGGATGTTAGGCAGATGATGATAAAGGCTTTGATATGACTATCTTGGATATGTGCCCGCTTGCCATTGGTTTTCTGTTGGACTGTACTTCTATTTATAGACTTCTCAAGCTCAATGGATAGGATGGAGACTGTATGATTCATGGGCCATTAGCCGCAGCGTGATCCCGGTTCCAGATCCTAGAGAGTGAAAGGAAACCAACAACATCAGGTGCACGATGAACGATAAACGATCACATGCGATAGACCGTCGGAAAACAAAGTAGTTCTTATTGTCCTGGCAAGGGTTAACGTTCATCAGCAAACTGGTTAGTTGAAATGGTGGGGAGTGCTGTTGTAATCAAGTGTAATATTGCTACCGCACTACAATAGAGTCATGTATATAGATACATCAATCAAATTTCTTCACGATGAAACAATCGCCTAGAAATTTAAGAATGCGTTTGGAGTTTGTTGCAACACTATGGCACTATTATACAGACAGACAATAGAGCAACGGCACGAGGATAATTGTAGGAAGCCGTTGCTAGATAGTACCTACAAAACCGCACTGAGTCGGAGTAACACTGTTTGCCGGATAGATGACTTTCCGCCGTAGTGACTTAACTGAATGGGCTTGTTGATTGAGTGGTTATCGTGCTGACAACAAATAGACGAGAGCCTGACAATGACTGGGAGAAGTTTTAGGCGCACTGTGCCTACAAAGGCAAAGTCGCAGAATGGTGTAAGATAAGGCTGCTGTTAGCCGATGTTCCAACCTGGGATGCGTAACCAATTTGACCAGAGGCCATCCGCTCAGCGACTCCCGGACAAACACTTTTTCATATTCCACCGAAGGATCCAGCATATTCCTTCTCGGCCGACCCAACTCGATCCTTTTTACATAAAACGGTACGAGACACATCATTTAAGTATTTACATTGAGTGCAAAACCGATCGGGTTACCCTCAGGCTTAACTAACTTCTTGGGGTGTATAAGAGTTATGCCATTCGGACGGAACTGGAATGAGTCCATATGTGTGTCATCCATCAGTGAACCACATCAGGAAAAAAACCTTTGACTACAGGGTGCTATATAGTCATTATAGTATCTGTAGCCAGATTTGTCAAGTGTCTACTATGTGGAGCTATATAGCCACGCAGCGAACTATGTAGTGCTACGGCCACTCCTGTAGCTCGTTGTAGCAACCAACTACAGGTGCTACAGAAAGCTATATGTGCTACAAATTACTATAGGGTGCTATAGGAATAGTGTTAGTATTTGCTCGTCCGAGCTACAGGTAGCTACACACTGCTACTGTAGCTCCCGCAAGTTTCTTTTTCGGTTGGCCGACGTTGCCGACCACTTGCGGTGCGTCCCGCGGTCGACACCATCTCTGCACATAGGTTCTCCTGGGCCTTCAAAAGTGCTGTTTTACCTCCCTTTTTGGAGGGGGCTTTTGTGGGCATAATAGATGGTAGTCAGTAGAAATAACGACGACAGAAGGAGGGGGTATGCATGCCTTTAAAAACCCTACAGTGGCGTCAAATCAACAAACAATTTTTGAGTTTTGTTGATCACGAAGTTAAAGTTTTCAACTGACCAAGCGGTGTCAATATATTGGCATAAATAAGAGGGACGGGGATGACTTTCCTTTCAAACATACAATCAATACTACAGCCAAATCGATACTACAGCCAAAATGAATAAATTGTAAGTGGCTGCCTTCTCCAATGCTCGCCTCACACTCACCGATGTTGTAGTTCAGCGTTCATGTCGTCGAACGAATCAGACGACATGAAGCCGAACATCTTGTTATTGAAACCTCCTCCAAGTCAACCATTTCACGCGGTCGTTGCTCCAGGGCGGGCTAGGGAGGTACCTCATACACCAAGAGAGGTTAAGCCTGCTCTTGATATTCAGTTTCCATTGGCGCCATATCGCCAAACTCCAGGACCCATCAAAACCTCGCAGACCTACCTGCGAACACTTGTCCTAGAGCGCTGGGATGCAGAGATTAGGCTTTGTGATGAGTCATGCAGAGCGCAGCTCTCAGAGCACATACAAGGTCCTGCTGCTCACCAAAATTTGGTGCGGGAGATGATAAAGGTGCGATGGAATGCTGAAAAAAAGTGGTGTGAGGAGTCACGCAAGGTTCAACTTTTGGAGCTCTTACTTGCGGCTCATGGCATTACTACCCTAGCTTAGTTGTCAGTTAGTTTTAGCCAAGTTAGTTTTAGTGTCAGTTAGTTTTAGTCAAGTGTCATTTGGAATAAGGGCGCACCGTGTGGGTCACCTTTATTTTCAATGATGTTCGGGTCAATCTCCATATTATGAACTGCATCCGTGACAGTAGTTAGTCACTTGCAAGGGTCACATCGCTGCAAATGACTTTTGTGTTAGTCACAATTAGGGCCGGTATGAGGACTCACTTGAGGGTCGGCCTGGTCTAAACTCAAACTGGGCGCAGCAACAACCAGGCGCTGCGCCACAACTAGATCCAGGCACCAATGAGGCGAGTACCATAGGTAGATTGAAGATGCTTACATGTATGCCAGTCGAATGGCGGTAGGTCATGGAACTTCGAATATAGTCCGAGTCCGATTTTGGTCTCCGCAAGTCCAATGGAACTTCGAATATAGTCCGAGTCCGATTTTGGTCTCCACAAGTCCAAGAAGAAGGACCTTCTGGAATGCGGTTTGTGTATGCCAGTCGAATGGCGGTAGGTCATGGAACTTCGAATATAGTCCGATTTCATGGAACTTCGAATATAGTCCGAGTCCAATTTTGGTCGCAGTTTGTGTCGAATGGCGGGAGGTCATGGAACTTCGAATATAATCTGATTGAAGGAGTCGACCTTCTGGAATGCGGTTTGAGCCTGGACAGGATAGTGTTAGCGTGTTTTTTCCATTTTTGTGGCGTCAAGATACTTAGGGCCGGTACAACACGACTTGACACGAGTTTCGTGTCAATCGCACCGTCAATCGCACCAGACAAGCCAGCATGCCCCACTGTGTATTCTGTGGGAAGGTAACAACTACACACGAGGGTCTCAAGAGACACATTGTAGGGCGTCTTGAATGTCGAACACAGTATGAATCAATGATCGAAGAAGTAGAGGCAGAGAACTTAGACGATGCACCAGATGTTGACTTCCCCCATCAAGATGCAGCTCCAGGCCATGTTCACCCGCGCCCGTCTCCAGATATGGACGATAACCCAGCGCTCAGCAAGACTCGTCGTGTTACAGTCGAGGAAGTCGAAGATGAAGATGGGATGTCGTTCACCAATAACGGCCGATATTTTGAACCTCGGACGGATGCTGGCTGGGCACTGCATGAGGGGGAGACGAGTTTTGCAAAATATAGAACATACCAAGAGGAAGAGGGTGAGGATCCATGGTCGCCTTTTGAGGACAAGTAAGTGCTCGAATGCGCTGGCAAAGCATCTACTAAATAGATATCACTCACCAGGGAAGAGTGGGATCTGGCCCACTGGCTCGTCAAGAACCTTGGTCAGACGCGGACCGAAGAATTCCTGAAACTGCCCATAGTAAGTTTGAAAGTGTTGATCAAAATTTGAACCTACAATATTGATACCCTAGTAACCAGACACAAAACTGCAGCAAACTTTCATTTCATAACAACCGCTCATTCTTGCAGCGTGTGGATAAACTTCCACGTGGGCCAGGATGGACTTGTAAAAAGGTGACTGTGCGTGGAAACTGCGAGGATGATAAAGGCGAAATGTTGCAAGAAGACGTTGAATTGTGGAGCCGGGACCCTGTAGAATGCGTGAAAGAGCTCATTGGCAATCCGGCCTTCAAAGAACATATGGCGTACTCACCTGCCAAAGCATATGCAGACCGTGCGGGGCAACATAGAGTCATCGACGAGATGTGGACAGCAGACTGGTGGGGCGAGAAACAGGTAAGACTATTTGAGAGGGAGTGACAAAGCAACAGACTGACCTCGCACACAGAATGCCTTGCCAGAGGGTGCAACGATAGCACCAATCATTCTATCTTCAGACAAAACGTCATTGTCGCAGTTCCGAGGGGATAAGTCGGCATGGCCAGTGTACATGTCCATTGGAAACATCGCTAAAGCAAAAGGCGCCAAGCATCAGCACGAGCAACCGTTCTCATTGGTTACTTACCAGCTAGCAAACTTGACTGTTTCACCCCCGATGCATGCTCCTTGGCTGGATACCGCCTCTTCCACCATTGCATGGCTCTACTGCTCCAACCTCTCATCGGTGCTGGAAACGACGGTGTCGAAATGGTGTGTGCGGACTCGTGGGTTCGTCGTATCTACCCAATTCTTGCAGCGTATGTCGCCGATTTCCCGGAACAGTGTTTGGTCAGTTGTTGCAAAGAGAACCGATGTCCGAAGTGCCTTGTAGCCGCAAATGACCGAGGGGATGCACTTAACTCGGCAATGCGTGATCCAGAGTCAACAAAAGAAATCTTGCACAAGCGCAAGATTGGTCAGCATCCTCTGGAATTTGAGGCCAATGGTCTACGCGCCGTTTACAAGCCTTTCTGGGCTGATCTGCCTCACGCAGACATTTTTCTAGCTTTCACACCTGACCTTCTGCATCAACTTCACAAAGGTGTCTTCAAAGACCACCTTGTGAAGTGGTGCATCGATATTATCGGAGAGGATGAGATCGACGCACGTTTCAAGGCGATCCCGAATTATCCCGGCCTTCGACACTTCAAGAAAGGGATATCGAGTGTGAAGCAGTGGACAGGGTGCAAACATAAAGAGATGCAGAGAGTATTTGTTGGCTTATTGAGCGGGGCAGTACCTAGGTGAGTGTTTATTGAGTCATTAAGATGATGTTTTGATGTCATGCCTGGCAGTCGTGTTTTGGTGGTTGCACGATCTATTCTCGACTTCTCGTATCATGCCCAGCTGCACATTCAGACGACTGAGTCCCTCGAAGCCCTACAAACCGCCCTGACTGTATTTCACGCAAATAAAGACATCCTCAAGGAGCTCGCTGTTCGAGAGCATTTCAACATACCGAAATTACACCAGCTCTCTCATTATGTGCAGTCCATCACATTGTTAGGCGCAGCTGACGGCTTTAACACCGAACTTCCCGAGTGCTTGCACATTGATTTCGCAAAGGATTCATACCGTGCTAGCAATAAACGGGACTACAAGGAACAAATGGCTTTGTGGCTCCAACGCCAGGAAGCCGTGTTTATACGTAGCACATACCTGGATTGGTTGTCACAACAGCCTCACTCAAACCCACATGACTTCGACGCAGATTCAGACACGGACTCGGAGTCAGAAACACCAAATCTTCCTGCCGCTGAACCACTTCAAGCAAGCCATGTCCTTGCAAAAGTCCCCGCGCATCCTCACCAATCCGTTCAAACCATCATAACAGCACACAGTGCTACCGAGTTCCTCCCTGCTCTCCAATCATTCTTACTCAAGAATCTCCCGCACAACACCATAGTCCCTGGTCTTCAAGACCGATTCGATCTTTATCGTCAAGTGGTGATTGTAATGCCGCCAGATTTACGAGTTAGCGATGTGCCAAAGCGAAGGCGCATCAGAGCAACTCCAGAAAAGTTGCCATCAGGCCGGAAGCCTGGTACTCCAGCCCAGTTTGACATGGCGTTGATAGCAGACAGGCCTTGCTCTTCGCATTTGCATACTCTTGAGGGTATTTTTTTGCTGAGTTTCTCAGCGGTCAATTTTGTTAACAGTCTGGCTGCAGGTGTACGAGTAGCACAAGTTCGCGCTATTTTCACTCTACCTCACCAGTTCGGCGCATATTCCAGAGCCCTCGCTTATGTCGAGTGGTTCACACCTTTCAAACCACCCGACCCTTCCTCTCGAATGCAACAGGTCTCGCGCTCAACCCGCCAACTTCGCCGCAACGCTGCTGTAATCCACGTTGACGAAGTTGTGCGGCCGTGCCATTTAATACCGAGGATGGGACAATCAGTAGATCTGAGGTTGAGAAGCGGAAATGCCTACAAGGTGGCGAACAATTTTTATTTTAACGAGTTCATTGATGGCGAAATGTTTTGCACATGTGTTATAAAGTAATGATATACAACGACATGTCACGTACATACTACGGTTGCACCTGTAGCTGCTTGTAGCTGCAGTGATAGCTCTTGTAGCTACCTGTAGCATCCCCCAACCATATAGCCGCTTGTAGCTTGGCTAAAGACTATATAGCGCTATGTAGGTCACTGTAGCGTAAGGTGCACCTACATAGTGCTACTGTGCCTAAAAAGCGCTATATAGCTGTCGCTCGGGCTACGGCATTTTGGGTTTTTTCCTGATGTCTGTGGTATCCAAAGCCGAGGATGGCCCAAAAGATCTCGCTGCCGCAGATGATATCTTGACCACATATCTTCAACAACTCAGAATTTTCGACACTGTCATAGAGAATCTTGCGAACGTATGGGTGCTCTTCTTGGTTGGCAGTACATCCTTATGCAAAGATGGTGCTGGGCATGCTGTCCGCTGCATCCAAAGTACGTGTGGTTTTCACCTTCCTGTTCAGCAGTTGTTGACTCTATTTCTCACTCAAACAGAACACGACAAATCGGTGCAATCTCTTCTCAACAAATTGGAACAAGTTTACGGCTTCATGTCGCAAAAGGACACTCTGCGCCAGATTTCATCCAAGCGCAGCAGACTCTAGAGTATGCGTGTTTCATCAGGGATTATTTGGAGAAAAAGAGCTTTTGTGAGTCTTCTAGCCATCACACTTTCCATAATTTGAACCTTATGCCATCATCACAGGGAAGAGACTCGGGAAAAATGTCATCTCAGAGACGGATGATCTGATTTCACGGTACAATAACGCTTTGGATGACTTCATGCAACAATTTCGGGACCAAGCTCTTCGAGACATAGCCGATCTTGTTCGGTGTACTAGTAAGGATTCGAACATGCTTCTGAATTCCCGTCCACTCATAATACCTCTTTAGGTGACAAACTGGGTGACAAACTGGATCTCAGCGGGATGCCTTATGCAGCAGGCACGGGACTAAATACCACGAAACTATGCCTACCAGGGACACGCACGAATGTTCTCTCCCGGATCACTGCATGGATCAATGACAGCGGAGATACTGCTCAGCAGGTGCTGTGGCTATCTGGCCCTGCAGGCACGGGCAAGTCAGCCATCGCTCATACAATAGCCAACTGGTTCAACAACTTGGGAGGGCTCGGTTCGTGTTTCTGCTTCGACCGGAATCAAACCGACAAACATCATGAAAAAGTCTTCTCCACCATCACTCGCGACCTCGCTGATCGTGATCCGGAGATGAGACACGCATTAGCGAATGTAGTCGAACGTGCAAATGCGCTCAAGAGCACGACAGACATAGTCCAGCAGCGGCACAAGTTGTTGATAGAATCACTAAAGAAGTCTTCTGGGTCGAGCGTGGGGCCTGTCTTGATCGTAATCAAAGCGCTGGACGAGAGTGGGGAAGTCAAGACACGGCGCAACCTTCTCTGCATACTTGCAGGTACCCTCAAGGGAGAAGGTCTTCCCAAAATCACTGAACTCCCATCCAACTTTCGGATTCTCATCACTTCTCGCACGCTTCCTGATATCAATTCTGAATTTCAGGATGCTCCACATATTCAACGGTTATCCATGGACGACATCTCAGAAAAAGACTCTAAGAGAGACATACGCACATTTGTGTCTCACGAGCTGAAAAAGGTGTCTGGTCTTGGAGACAAAGAGTTTGCAGACCTCGCTAACAGAGCTGGGGGACTATTCGAGTGGGCGCGTCTTGCATGCAACTACATCCGAGACATCGCTACTGGCTCACCTGCAATTGATCGCCTCAATGACATTGTGTCCCACAATGATGGAGAGCAGGAAAACTTGTTATATGGCATGTATAACTTCATTCTAGGACAAAACATGCGGAGGGAGAAACACGTCACAGAAGCTGGTTATCAGCGAGCTCTAGCCAAGTTTCATTCCGTGATGGGACAAGTACTTGGCTCGGCCAAACCGCTCTCTTTAGATGCCCTGAATGCCATGCGGTGCCATTTTCCAGATAAAAGCGAGCATTACAGAGTGGAACTCATTGTAGGAGACATGGGATCGCTGCTCAGTGGGACCACCAACTCATCTAGCACCATCCGACCCCTTCACGCATCCTTCCGGGAATTCCTGACAAACAAATCATCCAGTGGAGAGTTTTTTGTAGAGATGTTGAACTCGCAACACGATCTTGCTTTTGCGTCACTCAGAGTGATGGAGCACGACCTTCACTTCAATATCTGTAATTTAAAGTCTTCATACCTCCCCAATAGCAAAGATACCGGTTTGCCGAATAGAGTCACGACACACATTCCCTCGCATCTGTCATATTCCTGTCGATTTTGGGCTACGCATGTCCGAGCAACGGACTTTGACAGGGAACTCACCAAGGAAATAGGATCATTCTTCGATGATGAGCGACTGCTCTTCTGGATCGAAACACTTGGCCTTCTCAATGGACTCAACAGTGCAGTTGCTGTGCTTCCATTGATTGCCCGGTGGCTGAAGGTGAGAACAGAGTGATCTGGTGGTGTCAGGGGAAGTGCTTATATGCGAAAACAGGGCCAATCCGGGTATGCAAGTATGTTGTCTTCTGCAATGAATGTGCAGAGATTCGTGCAGGCGTTTGCTGGCATGATTTTGCACAGCACACCACATCTGTATGTATCAGCACTGCCATTTTGCCCTGGCAAGTCCACTATAGCTACAAAGTTTACTGGAAAGTTTCTGAACACTCTTCGCCTGATGCATGGCCGACTTGTGAACTGGACGGCTATTCAGACTGTGATCAGTGGGCACACTGATTGGGTTAGGTCAGTCTCATTCTCGCCTGATGGCATCGTGTCTGGTTCAGACGATTCCACTGTCCGGGTGTGGGATGCAGCAACATGGATGCCATTGGGTGAGCCCTTCCGAGGGCACACTAAATCGGTTTCATCAGTCTTGTTCTCGCCCAATGGCACTCGCATCGTGTCTGGTTCCTCGGATTCCACTGTCCGGGTGTGGGATGCAGCAACGGGGCTGCCATTGGGTGAGCCCTTCCAAGGGCGCGCTGATTTGGTTTGCTCAGTCTCATTCTCGCCTGACGGCACTCGCATTGTGTCTTGTTCATACGATTCCACTGTCCGGTTGTGAGATGCAGCAACAGGGCTGCCATTGGGTGAGCCCCTCTGAGGGCACACTAATTCGGTTTTGTCAGTCTTGTTCTCGCCCGATGGCACTCGCATTGTGTCTGGTTCACACGATTCCACTGTCCAGGTGTGGGATGCAGCAATGGGGCTGCCATTGGGTGAGCCCTTCTGAGGGCATGCTGATTCAGTTTGGTCAGTCTCATTCTCCCCCAATGGCACTCGCATTGTGTCTGGTTCACCCGATTCCACTGTCCGACTATGGAATGCAGCGACAGAACAGCAATTTCAGGAGCACACTGAAATCCCCTCCCCTACATATTGCCGTAGAACATTTTGTCCTGCACCCACGCCTTTAATCTTGTGCGCCACTCATACATATGGCAATATGCGCACCTTGATACTCAAAGCCACCTGGACCTCCTTGCTTTATATCTAGCTTTGCGCGCCTGCATCACTGAAAGTCAAGATGTGCTGTAAACCATTATATCTGCCTTATAATGGTCATAATACCCGCAATCTGGTAAAATACTATCACTGACGGGGTTTTTCAAAATGGGTATTGGGTTTCAAAATTTGCTGATCATCATATTGCAAGCTACGCACTGCACAAAAATATTCTGCGATTTTAGCCAGTGTTCTCTAGTGTCTATAGAATACAGCTGTGAAGATCCTATAGAAAACATCGAGCAGTTGTGTTCACAATAAATCATCCATTGAAATATGTCACACCACTGAATGTTAATGATTGTAATGCTACAATCTATATACTTTGTCAAACAGGACAAAAACTATGTGAAAGCAATCTCTGTCCTTATACAAATGATGCTTACCACTGCGATTTCTATATCATGATTGAGTGAGGGCAGAACCATGTTATCAGTGAAGTTGTTGAAAGAGTGGATGCTGCACCGTGACTATAGTGCAGCATCAATTATAATCTCCACTCAAAAACTGTACATCAAGTAAGACCCGTCGACAGGGGAGGTGTATCTTATATAAGCAGCCTCCAGATGGGCCAGGTCATCACTCACCAGCGCAATGACCTGGACTGTGAGTTTAATCCTCGTTGGTATATATCCTACATCCAGTCTTTGATTATACACTTTTGTGAACATACTCACTCTCAATCTATTACTATCATATCCTTTCCACTTAATGCACATACATACATTTAGATTTACTTACTGTGGATAGCTGGTCTATACAATGTACATGCATGAATCCATAGAATCTTTGATTTCCTCGTTCAGATATTGAGATTTAAAATTCTGCCGAGCGTACCGTTGCGGAGCTATAAAACTCCAGTGTGACATTGCTGTGACAAATTTTGAAACAGCATATCCAGTCCCTGCCAAACTGACATCGCACAACCGGATTCCTTCCGCTGCTCGAACATCATCACAAAAAAATCAAATTTCACCTGGGTGTGATAGAGCACGATTTTTCCCACAGGTCTGTCAAGAAGCAGAAAAAAAAATTCTTGACGAGTGTGCTACGCTTCAAACATTGAAAACCTTTGAAAAACCCCGCCAGTGATAGTATGGCAAGTGGTTAGATAATGTCATATATACCTTTAAACACCTAGCCTCCTTGACCAATTTAAATAATGATCATACATATTTGTCGGACTAGCAAGTATGGCTTGTAAATGAAGAGATTAACATCCTTTTCGCCCAATACACTACCTTATAAATGCACAATGGGGAGTCAGACGTTAAGCAACAGCAACTGAAATATGCAGAAGGTGATTAGCTAGCTAATATTGGTAATATATATAACAGAATGTTTGATTCTGCGGAACCAATTCACGTCTACCCCACATGCATGCTCATCACATATAGCTTTAATACATAACATTTGTGGCCGATCTACATAATAGTTACATGTATATACCAGGACTCCGGGTATGGTACTCTACACATGTATCCCATAGCTCAATGGTATCTTGGCACTAGCCTCTATCCCGGTAGCTCATTTGCAATGTGACAGTAACAAATGGTTGGCCATGAAAAGTACTGTGAGCATCTTGAAGTTCGACATGAGCAAGATGCAGGTATTATTTTGTATTACTGATTTCATATGCAGGATTTGCAGGGCATAGACTTGTGTGCCAGCAAAGGATCAAGCACAGTAGCAGAGCATTGTGCATGGTAGTAGAGCATCGCGTCGAGTTTCCTGTGGGGGTGTTCCTAGCCATATCGTCGAAGCCAAGTTTCCTAGGCAAACGAACTTAGAAATACCGAGGGAAATGTGGACCAGCATCAGGGAAAAACACGGTGCCTACGCGAGCCTATATGGTATCTGTAGGTTGGGTAGCCTGTTAGGTAAGTCCCGGATACGTAGGTAGCGTGTAGGACACACATGTATACAATAGGCACATTGTAGGATCCAATGGTCAGTATGCCTGGAGGACCATAGGCACATAGGCATTAATCATATGACATTTTATTTTTCAGCAACCATGAAACATGAACAGTACTAGTACTAATGCTCGCACTCAGACGCACACCCAGGAGTTAGCTACCAATCATCCTCTGAGTCAGCTCCACTGCGATCGTCCCACTCAGCTGCCGCTGCTGCAAACTCGTCGACTGTGAAGTGTTGAGTGGAGCAACTTGGGATAGGTTCGTTGGGGACATCTGTTAAGGTCATGCTCTCGTAGGATTGGATCCGAAGGACTTCGGCCTCAGCTCGTATGCTGTGCCCCTTTCCCAAGTACTGTCCCTTATTTCAAAGTACTAATGATAACGCGTCCGAAGGTCCAGACGGGTCTCGTAGTATATCCGGATGTCTTCCGGATATCGGAAACATATATAAGACTAATCCGGATGTATCCGAACTAGAAACTAACAGAGTAAGACTACCCGAAGGTAGAGCCGAGGATATAGACTATCGGAATCTATCCGAAGTCTCGGAGGGTGACAAGAGTAAGAAGGACTCAAGTCCGGAGGACAGAAAGAGGACAAACTAAGATGATATTCGAACTGAGGTACTACAGGACATATACACGAGTTTATATACTATGAGGATAACGGAAGTATCAGTAAGCAAAGGTCCGAGGCTATGTATGAAGCATGTGCAAAGGTTATCAAACGCGGGTCGGAAATGAGACATAGGTTAACGGATCAGTAATCATACCGGTAATAAGTATAACCAAAACACCGGGAAGAGGAAATACCGAATAGGCTGTGTTTAATGTTATATGAACAGGAAATGAATTAGAAAGCTTATCGTAAATCGGATCGGAAGCGGATCTATACATTGGACCGGATCAGATCTCAGGGTCCGAAGTCCGGAAGAGAAGCATGAATATATGGGATATGACAGTATCCCCCCCTTAGGGCCGATCCCTAGAGGCACAAGAACCATCGGTCCGGACCGGACGAGATTATCGCGAGATGATGGAGAAGTTAATGGGAGAAGCGTCTGAGTTCGGAATCGGACAGGTATACTCAAGGACAGACGTCCCAGGATGATTCTTCCTTTCCCACTTTTTACTCTCTATAACGCTCTATCGAAAATGTCTGGCAACACCTCCGGATCTCAGAAGACTGCTAAGCAGAAACTGCTGGAACTTCAACAGCAACTAGCGGACGCTGAAGCTGCGGCTCGGAAGGAGGAGGAGGAGATTCGGAAGCGTCAGGAGGAGGAGCGGAAGATTCAGGAGGATCTTAAGAGGATTCAAGAGTCCGAAATTCGGGTGGAGGCAGAAAACAAACGGCGCAGGGAGATAGTAGAGGAAATGGTGAGTTTCGGATGGTTATGATGGTTTTGCCTGATGGATGAAAAGTCTCGTGCCATTTCCGCTGACAAGGACGGATCCTGCAAGCGTTGCAGTGACAGAGGCCGGACTTGCCTTTGGATGGATGCGGAGAGCAATGCTCTGGTGAGTTAATCCGCGTTTTTTCGGATCCGAGTGTTTTGATGTCTGGATAGGTCAAGTCTTGCGATATCTGCCGGAAGGACAAGGCTACATGCCCCAGACGACCCGGAACTGTCAAGGTGCTCAAGGGCAAGAAGAGGAAGCATGCTGCCGGATCTCCATCTCCGAAGGGTAAAGGTAAGAAACGTCAGAAGAGTCCGACTCCTGAAGATCTGGAGGAGATGGAGACGGAATACGATGATCAGGCTTGGGTGGCCGCAGCCAACAGTATAGTGGCGGAGCTGGCTAGGACTAACACTCTTTTGGAGAGAAGTATTCAGGCGGCGGAAGGCAGCAGGGCTGCAGCGGACCGGATGAGTTCCGGAATTGAGCTGTTCCTTCAGCAACAAAGGGAATTTCAAGCCATGTTGTTCGGACATATTCGGAAGGGATTTCGGACGTCTCCGGGTCCAGAGGAGGAAGATGAGGTGATGGAAAAGGCGTCCGGAAGTGATGCCGGCGGATCCGGA